GCTCAACCTGCACATGAAGCACTTCGTTAAGGAGCTCGGTGAGTGCTCTGCAATGCTTGGCCAATTTCTCCTTTTTCCACCCTTAAAATGGTGCAATCTGCCCCCATGCTGTGCACACTTTTTCTGGTTCAGGCGATCTCCCTTTCTCTCTGGTGCATGTTAAAAAGCAGAAATTCTTGCTGAGTGTTGCCCCTTGCTGATGCTGGCTCCCGCAGCACAAACCCTGCACCCTCCTGACTGCTGCAGGACAAGGCTGAGCTCCTGTAGGGTAACTGGCAGAGCAGGGGCCAGTGGTCTTCAGCCAAAGGCATTTATTTAGTCTAGGGTTTGGGCATTTATACAATCTTCGCACATCTTACCCCACCAATTGTGGAGTGCCACCCACCCAGTGACCAATCCTGGATTTAAGTGATCTCTGCTTCACCAGCACTTCCTCATTCCTAGTTTCGCAATCTTGAACACATGACCTTTAGTAACCTTTTATCCTATGTATTCCCACATCCCCCCCTTTTTTTTGTTTTCTGCCCATTCCATGATGATAGCAAACGTTGCCAAGTTCACTCAAGGATTATCTTACTGTATTCTCCATGATCAATCTCCGTCAATAGTGGCTGGTAATTCTGCTCTTCATCCTGTGCTTGGTAGGCAGGGAGGATTCTTCAGCATCACCTCCAGCAACCCAGCCAATTCTGTCCTTCTTTAGCACCAAACGTTGCGATGGGGCTGTCTGAGGGATCCTCCTCCTCTTGTGGGGCTGGCCCCTGGGGCTCTTCTTCCAATGTAGATGGCCAGGGATGATGAGAGCACCGGTCAGACCCATCTTGCCAGTACCCGCATCAGTTGATCTGGATCTGAACACAAGCATACCCTTGCCCCCATGTTAGCCATGGTGCTGGGCCCACCCATTTCCCCATTCCGGAATCACTAATATCCACAGGCACTTGTGCTGTCTCTGCCGGTCCTCCCAAGTGCCTCACTATTGGGGGCTGCCCTTCAATGGTCCGAGAATTTAATATACGGTTCCCCCTTCTCCTGCTGTACCTTAGAAAAAGGTTGTGTAGCCTCCTGTTCCCCTGCAGGCACATCCTGCAGCTTCAAGAAATATCTCCCGCTCCTGTATCTGCACTGCTGATGGGCATCTGGCCTGGACATTCACCGTCCCGTATTGCCCTTCCCCTAGCAACATTTCTACACCCACTCCTTGCATTTGTGGGTCATGTGCATTATCCAGAGGCTGGAGATTAGCCACATCCCACACTTCCTGGGCCGTGACCGCCTGTTGCACTGGTGCGTACAACAATCTCATCAGCCGCTTGTAGTCCTGGGGGTACTCACCGACGTTCTTTGCAACAGCCTCATAGTAAGGCCAATGTGTAGGGAGCTTTTGGCCCGTAATCCGAGACCGCTTTACGCAGCTCTTTTACCACATTACAATCCGGGGGTCTATGTTTTGCACCCCCTTGCCCGTCAAACTCGACTGGAAAAGCCGCGCATCCCGTAGCGCCCAAGGCCGACCCCATCTCCCGGTCTCCCTGTTGAAGGGCTTCGCGCCGCACGGCTCGCCAGCCTTCATCTCCCTCCTTAGCCCCTTCCCGTGGGGGATCTTGCCTGGTTGGGGGTTTGCTGACTACCACCTCTTACAATTCATAATCAGGCAGGGCTGATGGAGGGGGTGAAGAATTCCCCGATACCTGTGGGAAACAGTCGTCTGGTTGTAGGGGAGTTGGTGTCATGTCCTTAGGTGGCGATGGGCAAGCTGGTGAGGGGTCAGAGAACCCAGTTCTGGTGCATCATCTTAGCGCTTCATACATCTGCTTTAGCAGCAATCCTGCCATTGAGTCCCCGGTCCCATATCACAACTCCAAATCCATCCCAAACCCCCAGGTCACATATTATGCCTAACCGGCTCCACAGACATGGTTCCTCCTGTGGTTACTGACGACATGGCTCTCCCCAGAGCTTCTACACCCTTATGCAATCACACTTAGATGTTGCATCCCATCCATCTTACCCCACGGTTGCAACTTCCTCACAGTCATCCTTCAGGTCCCCGTTCAGGCACCATTTGTAGGGTAATTGACAGAGCATAGGCCAGGGGTCTTCAGCCAAAGGCATTTATTAAGCCCAGGGTTAGGAGGGCATTTATACAACATTCGCACGTCTTAACCCACCAATCCTGGAGCGCCAGCAACCCAGTGACCAATCCTGGATTAAGTGAATCCCCTCTGCTTCACCAGCAGTTCCTCATTCCTAGTTTTGTAATCTTCAACAGGTGATCTTTTTAACCTTTTATCCTATATATTCCCACAAGCTCCTGTTGCTATTGGCAAGTTATAGACTGGCATCCAGGTAACCCTGTTCAGAAGGATCAGAAGTCACTCCAAATCATTCCTTGTCTCTGCTTCAAAACCCCCTTCCCCCTTATCTCAGGAACAAGCTCTCATCCCTTCATTCAGAATTACTGCCCTTATCAAACCCCCCTGGCACAGCCTAGATTAAATCAAAGGACAATAGATTTGCTGAAAAAGATTTACCTTCTACGGCAAAGATCTACCTTCTAATTTTTTTCCTTCCTCTAGGCCTCGACGTTGCTCCAGGCTACAACAGCCTGTTGGGTATTTATAATGGAGAGGAGTTTGTGTTTGAGGAGAGCAGCTGGTATATAATCAACATCCTCAAACTTCTTTGGCACTACGGCCTCAACCCCCTGCGCATGAACATGTGGGTTGAGGACATCTTGGACAAGTTTATGCGGTAAGAGAGGCAGGTTTCTTGACTGCGCCAAACAAGGTCTCTGGAGAATGTTTGATATGGGATGGTCCATCAACTGGGCACTTTGTTCCTTAAGTAGGATTAAAATTGTGACTGGATACAAAGTATTTCTTTTGCTAGAAAAAGTTAGAGGAAATAATGGCATCAGATGGGATTCGTCTTTCCGCAAGCGGAAAAGAGGGTCCCTGGTCATGAGCTAGCAGGGCTCACTGAGAAGGCTTTAAACTAGATTTGGGGGTGTGATAAGGTAGGTGATGGGCTGCCATGCCCCTCAACCAGCCTAACTCCAGATCCAGGGAAGGCTGCCTGAAGGCTGGACAGGGAAAACAGCAAAATATGAGAACTACTGAAGGCCACATAGTCAAGTTACAGCTGCTGCAGTTAGAAAGAGGGGCACACGTGAGGGTGAGGGTTCTTTACTGAGGGTTCATTCTTTACTGTGAGGGTGACAGAGCACTGGAACAGGCTGCCCAGAGAGGTTGTGGAGTCTCCTTCTCTGGAGATCTTCCAAACCCACCTGGATGCCACCTTGTGTCCCATGCTCTGGGTGTCCCTGCTTGAGCAGGGGAGTTGGACAAGATGATCCCTAGAGGTCTCTCCCAACATCAGCCATTCTGTGATTCTGTGAGATAATGAAGCTGAGGTCTTTCTAGGCCTCTTATCACTTGTGCTACAACTTGGCTGAAGGATGAGTCTTGCTGCCCTTGTGAAAGGCAATGAGGCCCTTAGAAGGCTTTCTAGGGCTTTAAGCTTCCAAAGGGAGCAAAGATAATCAACTAGGATTTGAAACTTACAATCTTATCAAGTTGAGGGGCTTGACTAGTGCATGTGTTGTTCTGCAACTGCTCTGAATGTGTTTCCTTGTTTCTGGCCCAAGAATCTATCGCTACCAGACGCACGACTATACCTTCAGCAGTAACGAGCGCTTACTTCATGCCCTTGGAGGGAATGACTTTGCCCAAATGCTGAACCAAACCCTTGATGAATCCATGCAGAAAGCTGGCTTCTCCCATAAGTTCATAAATGAAGTGATTTCTGTGGCACATGTGTTTGCTGGGGTTCTTGCTCCCAGAGCTTGGGCAGACCTTGGCAGCAGCCTGGTTGCTCCCTTTGGCCAAAGTCTCTCCTGCTGCTGCTCAGCAGGGCCCTCCCTTGCTGGGTTACTCTGACCAACAACTGGTGGCCGCTGTGGCCTGGTGAGCCCTGTGCTCAAGCAAGCTGCATATCCCAGTGGAGTATTTCCCCCTAACTTCCCATTCCTGTTCCAAGTGCTCCCCTACAGAATGGCACTGCACAAGCACGTTGAATGGTCTTGCTTTCCTCATAGGTGCTGTTTCGCTGGCGGGGGCAGAATCTGGCCTTTGGGCTGTCAAGGGAGGAAATAAACTTGTCTGCAATGGCCTTATCTATGCTGCCAAAGCACAGCTTATTTCTGGCACAGTTCTGTCCATAGAGCCAAAACAAAGACCTGATCCTGCAGGTGAGTTGTCTTCACTTTCTGATGGGGTGGGGGAGAGTGGTCAGCTGGGACCAGATACTTTATCAGTATCAGATACTTTACCAGATCAGATACTTTAGTCAGGTGGGAGCTAGAGCCAGGCAGTGACAGCTCCATAAGTCCATTCCTAGCCCGGAGTTGTTGTATTTAGTCTCTTAAATTGAAAGCTGGGCTCCATTCAAGGTCTTAGATGCTTAGTCGGCTAAACTTGTATTATTTGTATGTTCTTGTGAGCTCAAGCGTTTTCAAGTAGCCTAAATGGAATGGAATTAGAAACAAAGAAACAAACAACAAGAAAAAAAACAGTGTTAGGATGAACAGGAATTTGTGCAGCCGCAGAACAGGGCACTGAGCTCTCTCCCCTCTTGTTTTTTCCTCCCTAGGGGGCACACGGAATCTGTACTACGTCACTTACAACTCTACATCGGGACAGTCAGCAGAAATGTATGATATTGTTGTCATTGCAACCCCACTAAACCACAAAATGTCCAACATCACCTTTAGGAACTTCAACCCTCCTATCCCAGAGTTTCCACATCCTTACCACCAGACTATAGCGACATTCGTGCATGGGCGCTTAAATGCTTCCTTCTTTGGCTACCATGACCCCTCTACCTTTCATTTGAGTGATATCTTCACTACAGAGAACCCCAAACTGTTCATCAACAGCCTGGGGGTGGTATCTCCTGTTGAAGGGAGACCCAGCGAAGAAAAGCTGCCCTTGCAATCAGCTGTCTGGAAGGTATTTTCAAAGGAACCACTCACCAAGGAGCAGCTTAACTTGCTTTTCTCTTCCTATGACTCTGTGAAAGAGAAGAAGTGGCTGGCATACCCCCACTACAGCCCCCCTGAAAAATGCCCACCCGTGATCCTCCACGACAGGATATACTACCTCAACGGCATCGAGTGCGCTGCCAGTGCCATGGAGATGAGTGCCATAGCAGCCAAAAACGCAGCGCTGCTTGCTTACCACCAGTGGTATGGGAACACGGACAAGATCGACCAGGAAGACTTGCATGAGAAGCTGAAGACAGAGCTCTGAGCTCCTTGGAACATTCCCCTGGCTTGCCAGGGCATCCAGGCTGCTCCATCCAGAAATACAGATCACCTGCTGTAGCAACCACAGCTAAATCTGATCAAGAGCAACTCTTCCACTGATGAAGAAACACCTAATCACCTCAAGATACCCTGGAGAGGAAGCTTTCCCTTATTAATCTAGTCAGCTGGTACCCAACTGCCTCATGATAGATTCTTTCATCTATCCCTATGTAAGATTTTTTTTTTAAATAAAATTTAAGTACCATTCTTCAGAATGTATCAAACAACTTGTCCTTGGTATGGAACTTGGGCAGCGCCAGTCATGGATGCATCCTTAGCTTCCTTCCAGAGCAAATACTGTAACTGTGGGGTGGTGGCTGCCTTCCCTCTGTCCAAGAAGTGCGAGAATTGCTAAAACTGGTGGTAAGTGAGTAAAACTGAGATGCTCTTCACTTGCTCAAGCATCAAAACCTATGGTTAGATCTGAAACTCTTGGAGGGCACAAGAGGTTTTAGATAAACTTCCTTGGGAATATTGCACATGCACTGACTGTCTAATATTGCTGTACTAGCTTGGAGTACCTTATCTGGAGATGCAGCAAGCACTGTAGTTTTTTTTACAAATAAATGCACTTCCTGAAAGTCTGTTGTCTTGAACTACCTGAAGTCTGTTCCTCGTGGTGCCTGGTCCCACAGAGCTGTTGGTGGGTGCTCAACCATCCAACTCAGTTGTCCGACTCCTCTGCCCACTCCAGCCTTGTCCAGCAGCGTTCTTAACATCCTCTGACTAATACTACACTAACAAAACTAAAGAAGACTTAATGGGATGTAAGTACAAGTGCTGTTAATGCTTCTATGCCAACTTCAGCAGACAAAATGCTCTAAAATGCCCTTTTTGCCAGGGTCGTGGTCCCTTTCTTCGCTGGCTGCAGGGCAAGGTTACGCCTGCTCAGAGCGACCACCTTCCCTCTCCAGCCAGCTGCCTTGGTGGCAGAATCGGGAACAAGCCCCTGGGAGCTTTGAGTGCTCCTTCCGCTTGGAAATATTAACACTGCTTGTTCATGCTAAACTGCAGAACAAAAACATGGGCTGAGTCTTGTCTTTGGGTAGCTGGAGGCTGGCTTACGCTCCTGCAGTTCAGTCACAGGCATCGTTGCTGCACAAACAAATTCTTTCAATTTTCTGGGCCGGTGTATGAGGTAAGTGAACTCAGTTTACGACTTTTATAAGCAGCTCACCTCCTTTTGGAATGCTCCAAGGCTTCAGGCTTCCAGGGCACTCCTCATTTGCAGTCAGTGAACTCTGAAAAGCAAGCTCAATCTTTTTTATTCATCACCATCTCATAGATACTGTACACCTCTGCTTCCATCTTCCACCTCCTGGAAGGAAGCAGACCCTTTTTTTTAAAAAAAAAGGAAGTGTTTTAAGGCTCATAAATAATACCACATCCACTGTGCTAGCATCTATAACGTTCCAGCTGTGCTGTTATACAAAAAGGTAGACACAACTTAGTTGAATTATTTAAACCATTACAAAAATTTATTTAACAAAAAATAAGTTTACATGACCATGATGTATGCTTGGTAGAAGATCCAAGCGAGCACCCAGGAGCATATTTAGATCTGCTTGCAGCCCGACATGCTGCACACGCACAGGGGTCACAGCACACACACTGTCACCGAGTGGGTTTCACCACTTTCTATACTCGTTCCAAGGCTTCTAACATAATGATGCTGTTTCCTCGTATTACCTAAAAAGAAAAGTTCACAGCAGTCAGGACAAAGAACATGAGCTCTGCAGCACCACAGGTTCCCCCTGCCCTTACTCAAATTTGTCTTCCTAGAAGTCTGCCCAGTACACGATGCTCCCCACAACATGAAATTAATTCTACAACAGGGAACATGAACTGCAATAACCGGAACCATAACGGACTGAGGTGAGCAAATACATCAGATCACATTACAATAAGTTTACATTTTGCTTACATTACAGCAACACATCAACCTCTTAAAACTCAGCTCCTTTCAACGCACATATTAGTGGTGAAAGCCACGGCGCCCTTAAGCCATTTGCTTCAGCCCAGCTGGTCCAAACGAGCACCTACCACCATCCCTATGTTGTTCTGCTGGCCTCCCGACGCCATCTCCACGCACTCATCTATGACGAGGTTCATGAAGGGATCGAATCCTCGCAGTATCCCCTGGACGTGCCGGCCACCATTTAGCTTCACTGCGAGAAATTCAGTAAATGTGAAGAACGGGACCACTGACCGTGGCATTTGATGTGATTTTTTTTTTAATGGGAATAGCTTCGAAAGTGCATACTGCCACAATAGTCACAAGCACGGAGAGCATAGCGCCTTAACAGTCTGTATAATGAGGAACATGACAATGAAAATAGTGCAGAAAACATTTAAAATTCTTTAAAAGTGGCGATTTTGGTATAAAAAGTGACACCGAAGTAACACACAGGCACAGCTCAGTCTCGTTAGTGTATCCCCCCTCCGCTCCCCGGACTCACGTGACAGCTTCTTGTCCATGAACCTGCAACGACACCGGGGAAGCGGGTCAGCGCGGCGGCCTCAGCCCGCCGCCATGACACCCCCCGCCCGCACGGCACGCCGGGAAAGAAACCGTTGAG